TATGTTATAATGTTTCTTAGATTGTGGACTAGAAGAATTACTCTCTGCTAAATTCAAGCTCACACACAAGTTTTTATTCAACATGGTGTTATAATGCTTATCTGGGGATTCATAACTATTATACTGAACAGATAATTTTGTTGGCAATATTTTGCTATTTTGTGTAATAAATGAAAAAGTTGTTAAGTTTTTGTTTAAAAGTCTTGTATTATGCATTTATTGTTGGATCTCTCTGAATCCCTTTATTTCTATCTCAGGTTTACCTGTTCACCACTATTGTGTTGTTTTCTTTAAATCAGAAATTTTCATATTTTTATCAATTACTGTTTGATAATCATTTTGTTTGTTTTCATTAAGCAAACCAAAACATAAAAAAGTTAGTTTTATAACTATAGTATTTTCATCAATAAGTAGCACTACAAGGTCTTGGAGCCAATTAAAATAAGTTGTCTTTTTTTCGGTGTAATATATTTGAAGTGTAATATTCTTATAGATTTTTATACCACCTGCCCTTGCTTTAGTTTCTTATGCTTATAGATGTTATGTTATATAAAGTTTTATAGTTTACATTATAGGTTGTGAAATCCACTTTGTTATTGTTAATTGCAACTTAAATCATATTGTTTACACAGATGTTGTTATTAGGACTGTTTGTCAATGACTGGTAATATATCACTTTTGATTGGTTGACATAATTTATATTGTTTACTGTATTAATTAAAATGGGGGTAGTTATAGGGTTTAAAATGAAGAATTTGTGAACAAGTGGTTGATATCACTGACTGACTTACTTGTTGGTCAATGCTGTAGCAGAAGTCACTTTATACATAATGCATTAAGCTATTTTACATCATTAAGTTATTAAATGGAACAAGTTATTTAATGGAACAATTAGTGTTATGATCAAGGGGCACCTGTTGTTTTTTACCAGCTGTCAAGCTGATATAGTCCTAGATAATAAAAGTATCTGTGTGATGTAAAACACAACTGGAATGGGGTCTTACGGATGAAAGTTTTGAAGAGATATTTTCAAAGTTTTGTAGTAAAACGTTCAAGTTGTTGTGTTACCATAGATATCAAAGTTGTCTTGGATATACATGTATATCATTTATAATTCAGGTGATAATAGAAAGTGACATATATAAATAGGTGATATATCTGTCTGTGCATTGATATACAGTCCTACATTTAATAATATCTTAAGTTGTATTAATTTTTATGTTAGATTTACATAATGAAATGTTTAAAAACTGTGTCTTTCTATAGTTAATTAATTTATGGTTATATTTAATGAATTGATGATGATAATTGTTTTTTTTACCTATACAATCAGTTGCATGAAATCCAATCCAGAAATGATTTTATTTAACTGCTTCTTACAATCAACAATGATATTTTGGTTTATCATACAGTAATCACTGTTTACATGAAAATAATTGCAATATATTTTAAGAGCATGATTTTTGAAATGGTACTCTGTCATATAGCTATGAAATCCATCAGTAGTTTCCCAGGTCAATAGTAAGAATAATACTTACCTTTGTGTTTTCCTCATGTTATAAGATTTGTTTTTATTTGGCTTATATTTTGCTGACATAGTTTTATTGTTCAATTAAAATATTTAATTAATTTGCTTTACACATCATATTCTACACACAGGTGTTGGGGTCCCATTTCTAGAGCTTTATATTTATAGTTTTATTTTATTATTTGTTTTGGGTTTTTTTTCTGAAATATTATTATTAAAGGTTTATGGTATATACAATGTTTTTCAGTTGAATATTTGAGTTGTGAAACTTTAGAAATCCAAACATTTATTTCTTATATACATTTTGTTCCAGTATTTATTGCATATTATCTAATTTTATTGCTAACAACAATTCATTATTTGAAAATTGTTATCATTTAGATTTTCAGAAAATCCAAAATCCAACAAAAATCTTGTAAAAGTGATAATTTTTACAGGTTACAGACCACTAAATATCACGTTTTCAGTCATGTAGCTAGAGCAATATATTCACTAAAAATAGAGATTTTCGAAATACACACAAATATTGTCACAAAATTTATGTTAATAAAAACGTGCAACAAAAGGATTTATATGCAGAGTGTAGTGTTTTATATTATACTATAAATTTAATTTATTTATTTCTGTCTTAAGTCCCATGTTTTGATTATAAAACCTTTAAATCCTTTATTTTATAGGTTCTATAAAAATGAATTAATAAAACTTTATTTAAGTAACTTATTAATGTTTATTTACTTCTTTTAAAACTTATTTGTTTCTTTCATTTTTAAAGCAAATCTTCGTCTAAAGAAAGTGTGCTGGGTTTTCCTGTATGACTTAAAAATATATTTAAGTATATGATTGTTTTGTAAGTTGTAAAATACATCCACTAGAGCTATGATCTTAGATTGCCTTGACTGACAATTTTATAACTTTAAAAAGAAGTTCTTATACAATCAGTTGTAGGAATATTTTAACAGTTACAATACTAGGTATATGTTTACATGTATTTGTAAGGTAAGCATTTATGTTTTAAAGTTGTATTATATAAACAGAGCTCCTAGTGTAAAATACAAGTGAGCCTCATGATAGAATGAGTAAAATAATAAACAACTTTTAATCAATATAGACTTGTCTTTTATTTTATCGTATGTGATATGATGACCTGTACCTTATTTCCCTGATATAATCAATTGACCGTAATGCCAGAAGGTGGAAACGGTTGTCTTAAACCCACCTAATGCATTTGTGTAATGGATTTTCCAGCAGTCCATTCAAAGTTTAAAGGATTACAATACCAACATACAAAAATTGAGTAACTAACAGTACAGAGTCTTAGTCAAGACAGCATAGTTGTGAAGCCTGGTTTTATACTGGTTGCAAAGACCCATTACTTTCTGTCCCTTCAGGTTTATTTCCTAGTCCCTCACCTCAATGACCAGAATCATGTTACTGATGTTGAATTTGCCTCATCTGAGGAAGTTCTCAAGTTATTGCGGTTTCTGCTGGCTTCTATTTCCAGAAAAGGAGCACTTGTATGATATTACCAATGCAGTACATGTGTGAAATTACCAGGTGGAAAGTTACCATACATTTGTATGACCTTAAAATGATGGAGTGATTTGAGGATGAAATCCAATCATCATTCTTGGCAACATATGACAGGACAGAGAAAAATATTGTGTCGATGTTTCATTCAGGGGGATATTGGGTCAATTTATTAGTCAGGAAATTATTATGTCAATGTTTTAGAACTGGCTGTATTGGGTCGATGTTTTAGTCAGTTGATAATTGGATCGATGTTTTAGTCAAGAAAATATTGGGTCAATATTTAGGGAAGGAGTATATTGGGTCAATGTTTTAGTCTGGAGTATGTTGGAAGTCAATGCTTAAGTCATAAGACAATTGGGTCAATGATTTTGTTATGAGAACATTTGGTCAATGTTTAATAAATCATCTCGTAAGAAATTTATTTGAAAAATATTTGTTCGATCAGATCAATGTTGTAAAGTTAAATGTCTGTGTAATTTGATTAGGTAAATGTGAATTTTATCATTATAAATATCACAGCGTATTCATTTGGCTTACATAATACTTTGTATAAGACAAACTGACGGTGTATGTGTATAGCATTGCAAGATTCAAGATTGTGATATCTGATATAAGAATGATATAAAGGTTAAGACTGGTGCAACCTTTGATCAGATTCAAATAGTCGCGTATTTTGTATCCTGAGAGTGATTTTTAGCTTGGGGCTAACTGTAAGGGACGGTGGCATTTTTCTACTTTAGCGGCAGGTGACACTGGCTGGGTATAACGCTAAATGGTTACAGTCCGGACACAAATGTTGTGGACGCACAGACAGACTGTGCAATTTTAATATGCCACCCTTAGGGCCATACCAGACTGTAACTTTGTCATGCATTGAAAGATTCTAAATAAACTTGGCACAAATGTCTACCACATGATGATGAGGTGTCGCATCTAAAGACAAGTCCCTACCTCAAAGGTCAAGGTCACACTCGCAATTCTCACAATTAGAGTTTAATGGTACACTCATAAGTGTCCGGACTGTAACTTTGTCATGCATTGAAGGATTTTAAAGTAATTCTGCGCAAATTTCTACAACATCAAGACGTCGTGTCGCGTCCAAGGCTCAAGTCATTTCTAAAGGTCGAGGTCGAAAGTACAGCTTTGTGTCCGGTCTGTAACTTTTTCAGGCATTTGATGATTTTGAAATAACTTGGCAAAAATGTCTACCACTTCGCGTCCAAGACTCATGTCCATGTCTACAAGGTCAAGGTGGTAAACTTGCTATGAGTAGGACTTCATGTACAAGAACAATATTAAGCAATTAGTTTATTTTATTTTATTTTCATAATACCTTGCAGTACTTAAAAAACCTTTTTCGGGGACATTCGTCACTTTTCGTGACTGATATTGTTTAAATTCAAAATGGTAAAATTGTGTTGATTCCATAATGTTATGGCCAATTTTCGAAATAATTGTAACATATAATGTCCCTGATTCTTAAAATACATGAATACAGTACGTAAACAGGAACAAAATATTCTGCTGCTATTTTGCTATCTTAATTAAGCGAGGTTTAATCAGTTTAGCAGTGATCTCGAGCATAAACCAATTGCACTTAGGGAAATATACCGACATATTTCTTTTATACTGGCATGTTGGAATTATTCACAGACAAGAGAGATCTAGCTTGATATACTTATAAGGTGCAACTTTATTTCTAAATAGATTTTAAAAGATATTCACTTGAAAATTTACAGATATTTCTATGTCATGACTGTATGTCATTAACTAAAACAGATCCACTTTATAAAATTTGAAAACATTTAGTCAAGATTTCTGTTGATACACAGCACTTGTTTTACTACATGTACAATGTATATTATGCGCTGATAGTAGTTGGAGAGCACCGCCTCGTGACGTCTTGGTCAGCTACATAGATTCACAAAAAATAACAATGAAGAAAAATGGTTAGACTTTATTTCCGTATTCACAAACAACAAACATAATAATTTATAACATTTCATAAATAATATGTTTCAAACAACACCATACTTTAATGCATTTATGAATCATATATATATCAGCACTCTTTGAAAAGATATGTATTGTATGGAATGCATTTCACCTCTATAATACATAAATGGGCAGAAAAAAACACACACAATAAATCAACAGATTTATTTACATAAAGGACAATAAAGGCTGGGGGTAACTCAATTATGCTACATAACGCGCACATTACAATTTAGATCACTCATTCAAATGACATATTGATATTGTCTTTGATAATACGGAAATTTAAAAATATCTTGTTAAATCAATTTAAAAGTAAAAATATATTTGTATGAAATTATTGGATACAATTATCAAATATTTTCCTGAACCTAAATGACTGGTGATTTTCTTTTTCAATTTGACTGACAAGTTTAATAATGCCCTCCTTGGTATATGTGTAGTGATCATTTGGGTACCCATCTCAATCCAATCCGACATTCTTACCCCAAAGAAACATAAATATTCAAAATTAACATTTCTGTCCCGATTAACATACAACAATTTGTAAGACTTATTCATAATGTACATTGAATGACAAGAAACTAGTTCTAAATCAAATAAAAGTTGGAAATTTTAGTTATCATTATAAAGAACATTATACGATCATTGTCGGAACCCACGGGAACTACATGTGAATAAAGTGTAAACGTAACTACTATGCCTATATATAGGATGAATACAATGTGATATGTCAGTATCACTAATAAAATAAATAACTGAATTATTGAAATAGCGCATGTCACATTCAAAATTGAAATTTTCTGACCAGCAGAAACTTTGTGATGTTAAAAGAAACCATTAGCTAATTGTGGTCATTATTTTGGATGAAATAGTATATGTTAGACGTACATAGTCTGTTCTTATTTAGATAATCAAAATAATTTGTAAAGTTCTTGATTAAAAAATGTGATTTCCTTTGGTATAATTGTTTGTTTTGTTTTGTTTTCCTATAAGAAAAAAATATGTGTAAATGTTATATGATTAAAATGTTTAAAAAAATTAAAAATATAAGCATAAGTTTTCTAATAAACATAAATTATAATACAATTTTAAAACAATATCAGGAAGCAAAAATAAATAATGCAGGGAAATTAGGAATTATAATAAATCAAGTGTTTTATTGCACTATCTTAAGCCTCGGTCTCACTTACTCCCGGCAGAGCCCAGGACCATCCCGGTAAGTTACCGGGATGATCCGGGACGATCCGGGATGAACTTATTGTTGCGGTCACACTTACCCCGGCAGCACTACGGTAGTTCCCTACTAACCACCCAGGATGCGCTCCGGATCATCCAGGCAGAGCCCAGGTGAAGCTACGGTTCATGCCGGTGCTTCCCCGGTCGTTCCCGGATGACGCCGGAAGAGCCCCGGTTGACCCAGGCAGAGCCCCGGTTGATCCAGGCAGAGCCCCGGCAGAGCCCAGGACGATCCAGGCAGAGCCCCGGTAGAACCCCGGTGGATTGAAAACGCCCGAAAATGATAACTTTGATACATAATTTTTATCTAATATAATATCTATTGCTCCAGAATAGTAATTCATGATGATTTTCTGAAAAATCCCTATGCCATACTGGATAGAAGGGAAATGGGAAGGCTTTTAATACAAACAAGTTCAATCATCGCAAATTGTCCTTATTCTTTTGAAATGATCCGGGCTTTGCCGGGGCTCTACCGGGGCTCTACCGGGATCAACCGTAGCTCTACCTTTATCCTCCGGGGCTCTGCCTGTAGTTACCGGGGCTCTGCCGGCATATACCGGGGCTCTACCGTAGCTCTACCGTAGCTCTACCGGCTATATCATACCCCGGATCATCCCCGGTTTGTGCCGGCAGAGCTACGGTGCTTTCCCGGTATAACCACGGTCGTTCCCGGCAGAGCTAAGGATGAAGCCGGCAAAGCTATACCTTCCCGGATCATCCCGGACCACCCCGGTGATATTAAATATTTTATTCCATCCGGGGTCGAATGCCGGATGTTCCCGGATCATCCAGGATCATCCAGGACGTTGCCGGCAGAGTTACGGATGTACCCCGGTTGTTCCCGGTCGTACCCCGGTCGTTCCCGGATCACCCCGGACGTCTACCGGGGCTCTGCCGGGGCTCTGCCGGGATGTAAGTGAGACTGTAGCTTAAGACTAAATACAATAATGACACAAGTTATCTAACATATAAACATGAAACAGTTTTATGTTATAAAAGAATGTCAAAACGAAAACATTTCATACTGTATAATATGAGCCGCGTCACGACAAAACCAACATAGTGGGTTTGCGACCAGCATGGATCCAGACCAGCCTGCGCATCCGCGCAGTCTGATCAGGATCCATGCTGTTCGCTTTCAGTTTCTCTACTTGTAATAGGGTTTGTAAGCGAACAGCATGGATCCTGATCAGGATGCGCGGATGCGCAGGCTGGTCTGGATCCATGCTGGTCGCAAACGCATTATATTGGTTTTGTCATTACGCGGCTCATAGCACTTGTTGTTTAGTAAACAGATTTGCTTCCTTTCTTGTCCTAATTCGTATATAACTAGAAACATAATGATTAACACTTCTAGCACATTTTGAAAGAAGAACAAACCCCCAGAAGACTTGCTTGTGCCATTTTTTCATACTGAATATAAACCCCTCGTGCTATTTAACGAATAGTTTTTATCTTTAAAGAGACCGATAAAAACATCCATTAACACGTGCAATATCACGTATATATTGTCATATATTTATTATAACTATATAGAGACACAGATAGTGCCTACTTATTACTTTATCATACCATACAGCTGACTAGACTTCCCACCAGTACACAATACCATATTCAAAGTCTGGTAGTTTACTATATATTGACATTATCTCATTATTATCTCATTATTATCTCAATATTTTCTCAATATTTTATCATGATTTGAAGTTCTAAACGTTATCATGACCAAAAGCAGAAAATGTCATCATATTAGTCAAATTAGCAACATATTTACTTAAATGATATAAAACTGTTAACTATTTGTACATATTTTTTGGTAATTATTAACACTTTGTTGATGCAGCTTCCAGTAAAACTCACAGTTCCGTCATTGGAATGCCATCCTGAAATACAATAATATTAATAATCATGGGAAATATTCTAGTTATAAGTTAAAACTGAAAAAAATAGAAACTATCAGTTTATTCTAATAAACATGGAACTATCAGTTTAAACTACAATAAAAAGGGCAAATATAAAAAGTTTATACTCTATACTTAATAAAATAAAAATAACAGTGATTGAGAAATTGCTAACGCTGACATAACATTAGGTGATTCAAGTTATTTTGAGCTTCGATTGGCATTTTATTACTTAAAAACACTTGTTCATGTAGGTAATCAATCAAACTGGTAATAAAATCAACTTAGCACGCAAGAAATGGTAATTAGATTCCACACACAAATAAAGAAATCTTTTCAAAGACATGACAACATTGCTGTAAATTGCTTCATTTGGTGTATCTTCTCATTATATAAAACTATTTCATTCATTTTAAAAATGTAAAATATGGGATAGCAACTTACAGCGCTTCTGTATGTTCCACCTGAAACATCCGGCTCGTCACCATCATAAGTTGGGTTAATAAACGCTGCCGCTGCCACTGTAGAACTAGATTTCCCTGAAAACATATGAAATGTGAATATGTAGATCTATATTCTGTTGTATTTGTATATAAATAAATATGCACGTGTGTATGACTGAATGTTTTGACCTTTCTGTTCATAGGATCTGGTAAAAAATTTACATATATAGATCTACATGCATTTATACTTTTGTTTAGCTACAAGAAATTGTCTGTAAGAAAAGTACATGACATTGTGATATTCAGCATTGATCATTGCTGATAAGCGCAAAATATTATGCTTAATCGCAAAAGCTTTGACCTGAAGATAAATAAACTTAATTTTCCGTTGATTTATTTAAAGCAATGGTCTGCTTTTGTTAGTTCACAATCAGTGCATTAGTGAGACTTACGTCTTAGAAGAACTGTATCATCATCTTCGTCATAAGAACTTCTCGGATATGACGTCACTGATGGCAATTGCTTCTGTCTCGAGATTTCTTCTATCTGAACTTCTACTTCCTGTACTTTGGCCGGAACTGGAATCTCCGATCCATCACTATCAAACACTTCGTCATCCATGTTTCGCGCCTTATAGTCTGTTGTCACTTCTCTCTCACTTCGGAATGAATCTTTTTCCTCTATTCCAGAGTCGTTTCCTCTACTGTTTTTATCTGAATCGTTTCTTTCTAGATCAACTGCCTGGTTTTATTGATATTCAGTTTTTTTCATTAACATACTATTCTGCTTGCCTTGCTCCCATTAGTTTGGATCAGGATAACTTCCCTTTTTTATCTTGGGCTTACTTGAAGGACTTCGATTTGCCTGCCGAAACTTAATCCCTTTTGTTAAACGGGCCCAGTTCCATTTGCAAGTTGCTACAAAAGTTGATAGGTAATTTACATTTTAACCATCGCTATCTCACTGTTAATATTTTGTATGGAAAATATTTTACTAAACAGTAGGAAAATCTGGTAATCTAATTAGATAGAATGTTTTCATTGTTAATGATTAATTAACTTTTCCTACTATTGTGAAGCTTTGAATTTGTAATCGATTCTTGAAACCACGATTACACGGTGAAGCAGGTTAGCACAGTGCTAGCATATGCGGTATTGGTGACACATGCAAGTAAAAAAAACGGACTTAAAAAGACAAGATATAAAATTGTTAAAATTATGAATGTATCTATAAGATCATGCCTCAACAAGATACTAGTATTAAGAACTTAATGTCACGGTCATGTTGCTAAAATCCTTACCATGTTCATTTTTGATGGTTAAATTATTTTCCTTAAGTATTCTTCTATAAGTTTCTATCTCTGTTAACTGGTTTTGCACGGTGGTTTCCAATTTTTTATATTTCTGTTCAGTCTCGGTTTTTGTAAGTCTCAAAAAATGATGCTGATCTTCAAGACGTTTCTTGTATTCTTTTTTCCGTACTGGAATATATCAATTTTTTACATTAATAATGTCTTATAGTAACTCTACAGTGAGTCTTCTGTGTTGTACCATGATTAATAATAGTAATAATAAATATTCAGACTATTTGACATTTCTCGCAATAAAAAGAAAAGAAAAAACATCAAACATTTGTCTTGATATCTATTAGTTATATTCAGGTTTTACTCAATATCAAATAACTAAAATTATGCTGATGTGATTTGGCAATGACTCTTTCTATTAAAAAATAACTTAAAGTAAAACACATATGTTCTTTAAATAAACGGTGACATTTCAATTATATAGCATGAATGGAGAATATCTGAGAAAACGTTCTCACTGTCACATGCACGTGGTATCCTCCAAAGTCGAAGCACGATAACAAATGTGGCGCCCTCTGTTGCCATGTGGTAACATAAGAGTTTTTCATGTTGAAGAAAAAAGGCAATTTCCGCAGCTAAACTGAGCAATACAACTAACATATCAAACACCTGAAGTAAAAGGAATTAAAACATATTCAATCAGAAATTACAAACGTTTAAAGTACAGCAATACAAAGTTATAGAGAATTAATATGAATACACTTAACAAAAGTTCTAACCGATCCCTTTTTAAATTTTTTATTTTTTTAAAACGGGGAATAGATTTTCCCATAAAATTTTAAGTGAATTTTTGTCATTTTTTACCTTTGTAATTTAAAAAATTAAATTTTTACGGTTTCCTTCCCTGACTCACCCGGGGGACAGGGGGGCCCGGGTTTTTCATTTTTGGGACGAAATTTTTTTCGTGCAGGCGTGGTGGGGTATTTAAAATTTTTCATTGCATAAAAACCTTTTTTAACCCTTTTTATAAGGAAAAAAATAAAAACATGCACGTTGTCGATGCAGGATTTTTGTCCGATGAAGTTGAAAGTTTAATTGGGCCTCTATCAGACAGTGTGAAGGTTGGGTTTTTATAAAATTTTTTCTTTTTTAAAAAAAACCCTTAAAAATATTATTTAAATAGAAAAATGTTATAAATTTTAAATTTTCTGCAATTGTTTCATTCTCTTCAAATAAAATAAAAGTCGGATCTTTGGTATTATTCTTTTTCATATATAAGCGTCAAAACTCGTGATCGGTTTTAGAAACTTTTGTTCAGTTGTACTTGGAAAAGACGGGTTTTTATAATAATCTTGTTGCTTGTGCTTTGACATGTCGGTGGTTCAGTTGAGGCCCATGTCATACAGGTGTAATTTTTACACAGCTGAAGATGAAATATGAACCAACCCACCTTATTATTGTATACAATACACAATTTTTAATCTCCTTGTAAGACAAATGCATCTTATATAAATGCTGTTTTTTCCGCTTATAACTATGAGAATTTTTAACACAATTTTTGCTCGAACTCGCATCTCAGTAAGGTACTCTGGACAGAAATGTAAAAAATAAACAACAGATTTTTATTTATTTCAGCAAAATTGTAATACATACCTGCCAGAAGTCTTTGAAAGAAGGATACCTTTTTGCAATAATATTTTACATGCTATCTGCAAATAGAACAAAAATAAAACATGTATGTATAATGTAGTTAAAACATCAGTCTTCATTCAAGTTTTCTTATATGTTCATTAGTAAAAATAACACTGGAGATAAATATCTATTTCAGCATTGAACTATTTTATGCCATATTCGTTCGTGATGTTTATATTAAAGATATTTAGAACTATGAATATATCACTATCATGAAAACGACGTGTAATATCTGCAGTTTTGAATGCCTTGATGTATTTACAAGAGGTTTAATTGCGTGTGAAATATGAAAATTTCAGCCCATTAGCACCACACATACACAAACTCTTTATGTTAAATGCTATGTTCTTTTTGTAAACATTAACAGTATAGAGATTAGATTTTTCCTAAAAGAATTACTAGTCTGGGAAAACGATGTTAGGAAGTATTGTGCAATTAGAAAACAAATACCTTTTTTCAAATAACACAACAATGACGTTGTACCAGTTATGTGATATCATAGCATTTGATTATGAACTTGTGTATTTTCTTAGAAAATATGTTAAGTCTTTTCTGTTTTGATAATACCCTGTCTGTCAGTTTTATGTTACATAATTTTTGTCTTATTTCAATAAAATCATAAGGAAAGGATATCAAATCGCCAGTCAGATAAGTCGGAACAAGTAAATGTTGAGGGCTTGGTGAATATATCGAGGACATGACGGTAATGTAAGAATTATTTAAATCAGACAACTATTTCTTAAGATATTTACACATTTGTCTAACCTCTATACAAAAAATTGGGTGATTGACTTTGAGGTTTTATACGGGGGATTTCCCACGGTTTTCGTCCAAATCGTGGGTCTAAGTTTAAATTTCACAGGGCCCCCCGGGGGCGTAAAAGAAATGCGGGGGGAGCGCGTCGATGTTGATATATTCGGGGGCATTTTTGCCCTACTCCTAACCCAAAAAGTTTTCCTCTGCATCTGGGGTCTTAATTTTCAAAAAATTTTAAAAATATTTACGCCCTAAGAAAAATTTTCTGGTATTTGAAATTTTTGCTTTATATTTTTTTAAAAAAAATTTGGGAAAGACCAAATTTCTTCAATTTTTTTAAAAACTGTTTAAAAAGTGCCCCTTTTAATTAACTCAATTTAGAGACACCTTTTGTCACACTATCTTTAACAAGTTAGTCCAATTCTAAAAAAGTTTCGAAATAAAAATATTTGAGATCGTCAACATCATTATGTGTCTAGTAAAAACATGAAATGAGCCGCGTCACGACAAAACCAACATAGTGCGTTTGCGACCAGCATGGATCCAGACCAGCAAGCGCATCTGCGCAGTCAGATCAGGATCCATGCTGTTCGCTATCAGTTTCTCTACTTGTTATAGGGTTTGTAAACGAACAGCATGGATCCTGATCAGACTGCGCGGATGCGCAGGCTGGTCTGGATCCATGCTGGTCGCAAACCCATTATGTTGATTTTGTCGTGAAGCGGCTCAAATATGTAATCTATTTTGCATGGATGGTTTCCTCTTATTTCGCTTATAGATCGCTTTGAATTGTTTGTTTGTTTTATGGACAATGAATGTTTCATTAAGCACCTTGTATAATATGTAAATGTATCAGTAACTCTGCAGCTGACAATAGCACGTGCACCAAGGTCAAGGTCACCACGATGCATTCTGCAGCGATGCTGTTTAAACCTTTACAGCATTTACATCTGAAAACAGAAAAAACAGCACTTTTTTTTAGAAAATAAGCAATAAATATGCACTTAACCTTTGTGACAATGTCAAAACTGTATAAAAGTTTCATGATATATTCAAAAGCATCAAGTGGTATCCGGTGTATATTATATATTACATATAAACTATATTTTTTTCTAGAATTACTTTTTTACACTATCCCAACAGTTTTTACACTTTACACTGTGCCGGGTCCCTTTGATTAATAATGCTTTTCTTTTGAGATTATGTAATTTGTATAGTTATGTCTTATTTGTTTTGTCAAACGCAAACAAGTTACAGATCGTGAGTTTGTCAAATCGTATTTCTTGAAAATTTTTGCCATTTGTGACGGTATATAACCAATCCTGTAGCAATGTTGTACAGAATTTCGTATCGTAGCAATGTTGTACAGAATTTCGTACCGTAACAATACCGTACAGAATTTCTTATCCTGGCAATACCGTACAGAAACTCGTACCGTTTTGTTGATATTGTATTATGTATTATGTATTTAGATTTATTTATTCTTTTTTAATCAGCATTGACTCCAATTTTTGCTCCCTTAATGTAGGCTTTCACATGGCTAAATTTACCCCTCAGAAGCTATTTGTGTGTTCGTAATGGTAATGCAGAAAATATTGACATTTATATAATATTGGCTTTATCAATCATTAATATATAATTTGTAAACGGTACAAAAACCAGTCTAACAATATATACACTTTATCAAAGCTTCGTTTAATTCTTAATCAAATGAACCGGTATTGAATGGAATATATATGTGTCTGAATATAATGAAATAAAATGTAAGATAGAATCAAGAACAATATGGTATTACCAAAAGTTTAAAGTCTACAAAAGACATGAACTTTGAAATTTGTATACATTTATATAAACCTTGATATAAACTATTGACATGACGACTGGAAGATCAATTCTTGCACTCAAGTTCAATCCCAGGTAATCGATTACACACGATAAATTGACAAATTACAGTAGGTATAGATCTGTTTCTATGCATGTTAAAACTCACCAATTAATTTCATTCCCTTTCATCAATTTCTTCTGTCCCGGGGACTTATTTTATTTGTGACAAGCAATTAGAATTCCACTACGTTCTCATTATTAAGGTGTATTCATGTAATAGTGCGATGCATTTGAAATAAATTATTAAATATGTATCGATTGACAATAAATCAAAGTGGAAACTTATTAATACATGTTAAAAGGGAAGTAATATATTGAATATGATAAAATTGTCTTAACTATTACAAATCATCCATACGTAACGTAATGTTTTTAAAACATATCTTAAACTGTCATACGTGTGAAAATTTCCCATATAGTTAGATAAAAAGTTCGTATTAGTATACTTCTTCAACTAATTATCTTAAATAAATAAAAAACAACAAAAAACAATAACAAAAGTATACAAGTATATTAATAATATATTAGTTTATGTATAGTGAATAAGACGTACATATATATGTATTACACATTTGTTTAAAATTACTGTTAAGTAGTACAGTATGTGTCCCATTTATTCCACTTCAAACTCTTCTTGTTTTTATTACGGTTCCTAAAAAGATTTGACGTTTTACATTTACTGGGTTTAATTTAATGTCTTGAGTTTTAAATTTGCTTATCAATGACATAAACAATTATCAATGACTGACAGTGGGGAGGGAAGATTAAAAATTTGTATTCTTTACTTGCTGAGTGCAGAAAGAGTGTTAACTTTTCCAATGAGTATAAAATTGACTTTGACTTTTTAAATACTGAACGGCAAACATTTCAAAATTTTAAATTTTTGCCTTAATGAGATGTAAGCATTTTCTCTTTTTTAAACTCACACATATCCCATTAAGTTAAAGTATTAGCAGTATTAAAAGTTCAAAAATTTGTTCATATATTTAATAAAATAATCGAAAAAAATTACCCTACCAAATTGTAACCTAGGGTTATTATAATTTTTTTAAATTTGATAAAAAGTTTATCAAAACCAGCGACCTAGCCCAGCGGCGATTCTTGAATAAATTGATTGAAAAATTTAATATTTCTTGTAAAAGACAAGGGTTATTAGTTTGTACTGATCTCATATATATCTACTCTACATGGCCGCGTTTAAAACTTTTTAAACCCCACAATAATAAAAATTGAAGATCAATAAATAGTTAAAAAAAAAATCCGATTCAGTTATTGAACAGTTACTTTTACATTCTCTTTTGTTATACCTCCAAACCTGATTAAGTATCATATTGTTTTTTTGGTTTGCCTGACCATCGTACATTGATAATTTTTTTATTCTATTTTGTATCTGACGATGAACATGAGTACAAGTCTAAAAAAAAAAATGTCTGTTCTTTTCTGTTCTTTTCTAGAATTACTTTAAATGTGCACAAAATATTAAAATTATTTATCTATACTTTTCTACATGTATTTCCCTCATTTTCTCCTTTTTTTTATTTTATTTCGCCCCTTTCACAATAAAGGAAAACCAAAAGGGTTTTTTAAAGATTTTTAAAACCCATTTCTTACTTTATAAATCAAATCTTTTTTGAATGAAAAAAGAGGGTCATAAAAATGTTTGATTTTAATTTTAATCTTAACCCCAATTTTTCTGAAAAATTTCCCGGGCTTGCACATCACAAAAACTTCGGTATAAGGGTTTATTTTGAATAAAAGGGCAAAAAAAATATTTTTTCTTTCGATTTTTTTTCTAAAGATATATAGTTTTATAAATTATATTGACATTGCCGTAGAGGGAAAATGAGTATCTATAAATTACGTGGCTTGTGACAATATTGATGAAATATGGGGCCCATAGCACATTACCAGCCCGGAACCCCTGGGTTGATAGACCCGTATTAACAACGTGACCGTGGTTTCCGTTAATCCTTAACTTGCTTGAACAGGGCGTGATTAGCCTGATACATCTGTGAACTCTGACCAACCTCTATCATACGAAAGACCGGTAGGGTCATTTCAACTTCACGAGTTCCCGATATCATCTTCATGAATTCACAATTTTAACTTTGTGAATTCACGTTTTCAACAGACGGAATTCACGAGTTCACGATTTCAGCTTCATGAATTCCCGATTAATTTTGAATGGACTCCATTACACAAATTCATCAGTAGCTGGATTTCAAGAGTCGCTCAATAGTTGACACTTGCATTCTAGTTATGACCATGTTAGACCATTTCCATTTAACAAGATAAAGTTTAAACGGTCGTTCGTCAACACGTCTGTCCAGATTATCATCTATCTATCATCTATTATTTTTCTATAAGGACACCTGATTTAATGATCTAAATTAAAGGTGAAGCAT